AGACCTGCTGAAGTATGAAGTACTCTAGCGCTTTATGAGACTGATTATCAAACATCGTGGTGTGCGCCTACTATTTTGGTAGTTTTATCTATCTCGCTGTATGTCATGTTCAGTTCAGATTTTGGTTGTGTTTTATTGTTTCTAACGTGTGCCTTTCGCAGACGTAATAAACTTAAACTTAAACTTATGTTATAAAGAAAAGAGGCACCAAAATTTATTTCAAAAGAGTCCCAAAAGTTCGCAAAATATTCAAAAACTCCAAAATTCCAAAAAACACGAAAAGTTTCAAAAGAACTCCTTTGAAATCTTCTGCTATATTTCGGTGTTTAACACCTTCTTCAGGCATGTGTATGCCTCAGCCAAGGATTTAGCTGCCCTTACGGGAGCGCCAGAGCTAATGAATTGTGTTAGGGTTTGTTAGAAGCGACTGTGATTTGTCTGAAATAGAGGTGAAGCTATCCATTCTGTTTTTACCTAACCTTTCGCTGAAATGTGAATGTTTTTGCCTTCTCCCTTTAGCTGGATCATCCGTGCTAAGGGCATTCAACACTTATGCGAAGGGCATTCAACACTCACACCAGCGTGTGCAAGGGCTCTCATAAACGTGAATAAAAATACTTGAAATAGTTCGGTATAAAAATAATCACTGACCGATCTATGCATTAAAAATTTGATTTGTCCGAATTTTGACCGTTTGAAGGCAGCGATTACGATAAAGTGGGAGCGCATCGGGGAAGCATATGCACCACACGAATCAGTTACTTGGTTGCCAGGAAGCGAGGTGCAGCGCGCTGGTTGCTGAGCAGGACTTCGAAAGCACTCCGCCCCCAAAAGCGATCCGCCCACTAGTTTAGTTGGTGATTTGGACGAGCTGCGTTGCCAGCAGCGGCACAACTGGAGCAACTCGATTGGAGTGGTTTGGCATGGTGTTACCAAACGCGTTGCGCTGAACTCGTTCATACGCCCGCTTTCTGAGCTGTCACCTGTTCATGAGTGAAAACCAACGGCCAAAAAAGGGGTCCCATTTTGCGTTTTTTCTTGACGGATTTCTCCGCTTTTTTCGCCACCAACGTACCATTGAGCACCACCACGTCTCCTCTAAACCCTTCCCGAACTATCGTAATCGCTGTCCTTTAACATCCGATAAGTTTTCGAGCGAAGTAAGCACAAATTTGATCGTGAATGAGCTTTTGAAAACTAATGTTGTCGAGAATGAGCAAAACAGGGCCCTACTAAAAGAGTTCTCACAAGTCTGGTATGTGTCTGAGACAAGTTTTCGAATTCTTCTAGCACCTCTCCGTCATAAATCCTAGATGCAAAGAAAACTACTCGATTCCCTGTGCCTTTTTATTTTATCCCGTCATGGAGATGCAACCGATGGCAAACATTTGAAACCAAGACAGGAACGGCTAAACAACCTTGCGAATTTAGCCCTCAGATTATCGCTACCGCGCCAGTAACTACATTACTGTTTGTTATTTAGGACCAGATCTTGATGATCTCATGGCTGAAGGTACAACCGACTCAATGGGACAGTTTCTACTTTTCGGCCACACCTCGGAAATTATGACGATCGATCCAAAATTGAACATCTACCACGATTGCGACGACTCATTGACGGTATGCTTTTCCTTATAAGCGGAAGCAAAAAAAACGACAGCAGTCGGCGTTGATCGATTCTTCTATAGAGTGAGCTCGCTTTCGGGCATTTGATCCCGTTACTATGCGTTGGGTAGATTTCACAAGCGGCCCTTCAACTTCCATTTCTTCTAATGATTATAGGGAGAGATGGCCGAATTTCCATGCAAAACTCACGATCCGGTCTACTCTGAATGTTTCTGACAAGGAACGTCTCCCAGGTCGCCATGACCATTCAAGAAGAGATGTTAACCACTATAGATGTGCTTTCGAACGCTTATCTCGAAGCTGCCTTCCAGATCTGCTAAACAATTCTCTTATGGGAGTATGAAGCGAAACAGCGCGACGGTAGTGGTCGTGATTCACAGTCAAAACGTCATAGGATCGGTCCTTATGGTGTTTACTGGTCTCTATTCTTCAGAAACACAGCTAAAGCGGCCTTCAATAGCCTATTCGACCAAATTCCTGGAATTCCTAAACTGTAATTACGATAAGAGGACGGATTCCACGACATTATTTTAAATGTGAATACCGACGATCACCACCGCTGCGCTGTTTTGCATCATAACTCTGTTCAGAGAACGTTGAGCAGGTTTGGAAGGTAGATTTGAGAACAGCTTCAACAAGCACACTAGTGGTACACAATATATCTCTTCTGGACTGGCATGGAATCTTGGGAGCTTTTTCTTTGTGACTATACTGCTAGCTTAAGGAATCTTGCGCGGAAAAATCATGATTCTATTTCAGCCATAAATCACTGGCTTGAGACTCATTATCCACGATAATAGTGAAGAACTGAAGTATTGCTTTCGTTTTGATTAGAAATTCGAAAACTCGAAAAGGCTGCTACGCGTTCGAATTGCCCACGGACGTCTTTCACGAATGCTGGCGACGGGGATGCTCAAACTTGGTTCTTGGAGTGCATTCACTAGAAGCTCTTTCTGGCCTTCTGCTTCGTTGCATTCACATCTTACACTTCTACTCCATCCTATTCCATCGATCGATTTGTCTCCACTCTCCGAAATCGCGCGCTTCCGATTCTCTCATTGCGTCGCCTGGTACGTAGCCGGCCAAACGCCGTCTTCTTTCCATGCCTCGCCTGGCTCTGCCTCCTGGTCCTTCGATGGTCCATAACGTGTAGTTTTTGTACGTTTGTTTCTCTTCAGAAACCGAATCTTCATGCGTGAAACTTTGTGTGCTGCTATTTCCAGTGATCACAACTGACATATGGGTTATTCAGGTGTGTAGAAAGAATAGCAAGATATATTTAATCTTGCGCAGATTCCTTTAAGAAAAAGCGATGCGCAAAAGCCGGGAGTCAGTGAGACTATTCTGTCTGCTTATGCTACTTTACATGAATCTCGGACATCCAATCGTCAAGTATGAACCTCCTCGGACTGTAGGTAATTCGTAGTCAGTAGGCAACATTCATCGGCTTTTGTTGCTTTAAAACATAATGCCGTGCACTGGTCATTCCAGGTGTGGGCGAGACGGCATAAACCTCGCTCCATGACCGCTGCGGTTCGCCACCTTAAGGGCATTCCACAGTCACAAGGCTTGTAATGTTATTAGGTTGTCTCTAAATAGTGTCGCTTTTTTTCAACCAAAAAATTTTCATCCAAATCCTCATGCTTTTACATCGAGTCATATACCATTCGAAAGAGAATTGTCTGCTCTACAAAATATCGTGTTCTTCTTCCATCTATGTTCCATGGTTTTCAAATTTTAAGCCTGTGAAATGGGAGGTCCCGCCGACAAAAATTGACCAAACCGACAACTAGCTCTAACTTTATGTTCCCTTCGGAGAAATCAATCAATGATGTACCCTCTACTTACTCATGACCTCTTCTGAACATTCCACCCTTAGGTTGCCGAAAAAGGTTTGCCCTGTTTCTTTTCGAATTGGCCAACCGATAAGTCATGGCAATTTTCAAATTGAAATTCTTCCTTTGAAACGCTATTGTTTTATATCAACTGGTATATCTTTTGCAAGCACTGCTTCTGCTCTATTCGCTCATTT